GAAAATTTGGCAGGCTCCACTGAGACGGCCAAAATGGTAAAAAAAAAAAAAAAAAGAGAAACAAATTCCAAATGAAAGAACAAGATAATTCGACAGAAGATGAAATAAATGAAAGGGAATTGAGCAAGATATCAGAAGGAGAGTTCAGAGTAATAATCACAGGGAAGCTCAAGAGTGTGAGTAAAGATATAGAAGCATTGAAAACCAACCAATTGGAAATAAAGAAGGACATAGCAGAAATAAAAGAACACATTGGAAGAAATAACCAGCAGAATAGGGAGGGCTGAGGATCAAATCAATGAATTAGAAGACAGGGTAGAAAAAATCGCCCAATCAGAGAACCAAAAAGAAAAAAAAAAAAAACAGTAAAAACAGGAAGACAGCCTAAGAGAACTGTGGGACAATACAAAATGTAACAACATCCGCATCATAGGAGTTCCAGTAGAAGAAGAAAATGAGTAAGGGTTAGAGAATATATTTGAAGAAATAGTGACAGAAAACGTCCCTAACTTGGTGAAGGAAAAAGGCATGCAAGAACAAGAAGCACAGAGAGCCCCAAGTAAAAAAACCCAAACAGGCCTACACCAAGACATAATAATTAAAATGACAAAAATTAAAGACAAAGAGAGAATCCTAAAGGCAGCAAGAGATAAGCAACAGGTTACCTACAAAGGAACCTCCATAAGGCTATCAGCTGACTTCTCAATAAAAACACTACAGGCCAGAAGGGAATGACATGAAGTAATCCAGGTAATGAAAAACAAGGATCTGATTCCTAGGCTACTCTATCCAGCAAGGCTATCATTCAAAATAGAAAGTGAAATAAAGAGCTTCCCAGACAAAAAAGGCTAAGGGAATATATTAGCATCAAACCAGCACTACGAGAAATGTTAAAAGGACTGCTGTAATTAGTAGAAGAGATAGGAAGAAAAATATAACCACAATTAACCAAAATGGCAATAAATAAGTACATATCAGTAATAACCTTAAATGTAAATGGATTAAATGCTCAGATCAAAAGACAGAGGAGATGACTGAATAAGAAAGCATGACTCATATATATGTTGCTTACAAGAGATCCACCTCACAACAAAAGACTCAGGTTGAAAGTGAAGAGATGGAAAAAAAATCTTCCAAGCAAAAAGAACTGGGGTAACAATACTCATATTCGATAAAATTAGACTTCAAAAGGAAGGCTGTAACTAGAGATAAAGAAGGCCACTACATAATATTGAAAGGATCTATTCAACAGGAATATATAACCTTGGTAAACATATATGCATTCAATATAGGAGCACCAAAATATATTTTAAAAACTTCTGGAGGACTTCAAAGGAGAAATTGACAGAAATACAATCATAGCAGGGAAATTCAACACCCCATTGACATCACTGGATAGATCCTCTAGACAAAAAATTAACAAGAATACAGAGATTCTAAATGATGCACTAGATCAAATGGAGTTAATAGATATCTACAGAGAATTATGCCCCAAAACTGCAGAATTCACATTCTTCTCAAGTGCACATGGGACAGTCTCAAAGACAGACCACATGTTAGGACACAAATTAAAACTCCACAAGTTCAAGAAGATTGAAATCATATCGAGCATCTTCTCAGATCACAATGGCATGAGACTAGAAATCAATTACAGCAAAAACATTTAAACATATGGAGGCTAAACAGCATATTATTAAATAATGAATAGGTCACCAAGGAAGCCATAACCGGTTTGGCTCAGTGGTTAGAGTGTCGGCCTGCAGTCCAAAGAGACCCAGGTTCGGTTCCCGCTAAGGGCACGTACCTCGGTTGCAGTTTGTCCCCAGCCCTGGTTGGGCCATACGGGTGGCAACCACTCAATGTGTCCCTTTCATGTCGATGTTTCTCTCTCTTTCTCTCCCTCCCACTCTATCTGAACAAAAAATGGAAAAATGTCCCCGGGTGAGGATAAAAAAAAAAAAAGGGCAGAGGACCTAAAGAGACACCTCTCCAAATAGGACGTACAAATTGCCAAGAGACATATGAAAAAATGCTCAACATTACTAATCATCAGAGAAATGCAAATTAAAACGACTATAAGGCATCACCTCATATCTGCCAGAAAGGCTGCCATCAACAAATAAACAACAAGTGCTGGTGAGGGTGTGGAGAAAAGGGGACCCTAGTACACCGCTGGTGGGAATGCAGACTGGCGCAGCCACTATGGAAAACAATATGGTGTTTCCTCAAAAGATTAAAAATTGAACTGCCATTTGACCCAGTGATCCCACTTCTAGAAACATATCCTAAGAAACCTGAAACACCAATCAGAACGAATATATGTACCCTTATTTTCATAGCAGCACTGTTTACAATTGCTAAGATCTGAAAACAGCCCAGGTGTCCATCAATAGATGAGTTGATAAAAAAGTCGTGGTACATATACACAATGGAACACTATGCAGCTGTAAGAAAGGGAGATCTTTTACCCTTTGAGATGACATGGAGGGACCTGGAGAGTATTATGCTAAGTGAAATAAGCCAATCAGAGAAAGACAAATACCACATTATCTCACTTATTTGTAGAACATAATGAACAAAAAAGCTGATGAACAAAACAGATCCAGAGTCATAGAAAGGAGTAAGGTTCAGACTGACAAACTTCAGAGGAGGGGGTCAGGTGGGAGGGATGAGATAAACCAAAGAACTTGTATGCATAACCAATGGACATAGACAACAATGCTTGGGGGTGGGAGGGATAGGGAGGAGGGTATCTGGGGGGAGAAAGGAAAAACATCTGTAACAAAAATAAATTGATTAATTAAAAAGAGAAATAAAAACCAGTGATAGACCAAAACCAACAAACAAACAAAAAACTATTTCCTGACACTGAAGTGGTAAGAGAGCTGGAATATCTTAGTAATGCAGTTGATTGTGCAATGGTTCTTTCTTGCATGGACTTCCATAGGTTGAGGGGTCCTGCAATTGTTCAGGATGCGACTTGGGGAGAGGAACCCTGATGTTGATGGAGAATGGCTTCCTTGAGCTGTGTGGATTGTTGACAAATTTGGTGGATTAATGAAGATCTTTCCAAGCCTAGCAGCCACTACTATAGAACTATCTTGTGCAAGTCTTGCGGTTGCTGCTGCTCCAGTAGATGGCGCTTCTAACTCTTATATTGCCCTTCTTTATAAATTGCTTTTTAATTAATTCAAGTATTTTTCCCCCCGGGCTTTTAAATGATCTGGCATGTTGTTGATTCTTTTGGTTCTCTTAGAACAAGGTAAAAATGGTTCTTATAGATCAAGAGGTCATAAATGCAAATCAAAGAAGGGGGCTGTCAAAGCAAGTCTTACTGTAATTTCATATGAAAGAAACCACAAATGAACTAAGCATGAAAACAGGTACAGAAATGATGAATAGAAAAGGAAATTTCCACTCAAATTTTATTATTATTTTTCCCCTGTAGACACGTACAGTGCTTGGTATTTTCAGAACTTCTACAGCTGAAGATTTTCCTTTGAGAAGAGAATCCACTCACTTTTTATTTGTAGAGAGTGGACACATTGATAGCCCTGTCCATTTTCTATAGGAAGTCATCACTGCAAGAAGCAGGCAAAACTCAGAAAAATGATGCGGGCTTACTCGTTTTTAGAGAGGCTGCTGCATTGATGGGCAATTTAAATACTGTCTGGCCAGTGCTGGGAGAATCCCAGGGACTACGGGAGCATCTAGGAGGGGACCAAAGATTCTGAAGCAAGAGGGAGCATATGGACTAGTTGAAGGAAATTTATTGAAGGAGCTGCAGGTTGCAAGGCTAGAGAAGGCTTGATGATAGGGATGACATACAAGCTGAGTGCTGAAGGAGGAGCAGGAGCCCGCCAGGCAGGGGTAAATGGGAAAGAGGTATTGGGGAGTGGGTGCCTGTTCCAAAGAGGAGTAGGGAAAACATCTGCAAAGGTCTTGGGGGTGGGGGAGGGAGAGAAAGGGGCATATCTCAGGAAAAGCTTAAGATCAGTGACTATTAGGTATTTATGCATTCATTGTTTGATTCTTGTGTGTGCTCTAACTGGAGATCGAACCTGCAACCTTGGCGTATGGGGAGGACGCTCTAACAAACTGAACTACCCCGCCAGAGAAGCAGTTGCAGAATTTGAGCAGCTTTATTAGGACTGCATCTCCTGTGTCAAAACCAAGAATATGTTTGTCTAAAACAACAGGCAATCCCTCTTTTGTTTGATTTACTTTAGCAACCGCATCCTGTCAGACGCTCCTGGACCAAAATGTAAATTGCCTTAAGCATTAACAGGTAATCATCAATATTCTGAATCTGAGGAAGATTAGCTAAAGCCATTACACCAGCCTTAAAATCAGGATTATTTACATCCAAATTAATCAGTGGCTCTGCATTTTTAGCTGCATTGTCAGCATTTCTTCCGTTTTCTTTATGTTGGGTCAGAACGCTCCAAAAGCTGTAATTTAAATATCTCAGCCGTGAAATTAGTGGTGCTAGAGTAAATAGACTAGTAAAGCACAACTGGAATCTATTCAACTATTTCATTTCTTCAAATAAATTCATCTGTTCGAATCTGAGGCAAAAACTACTTTCGACGAGGATGGGATTCGAACCCACGCGTGCAGAGCACAATGGATTAGCAGTCCATCGCCTTAACCACTCGGCCACCTCGTCCCAGCAACCTCTCTCTTCCTGGTAGCTATAGGGAGTAATACTAGGGGATGTGACGCAATATTATGGCGGCCGCCATTTTGTACGGAAGCAAAGAGCCAATCTTTTTTATAGCGAGTAATCAAAAGAAGATGGCTGCTCCTGCGACATGGGAGATCTGCATTGAAGGAAATAAAAGAAAATTCGGTAGAAAATGAGAAACCTTGAAGGGTAGAAAACTGGCATACAGGCTGGAAAGGAAACTGGATAGACGGAGCCCTCGAAAGGGGTCGCTCTGGCGTCTAAAGGGCGGAGCCGACGCAGAGAGCGGCTTTGCGCTTGCGCATCATCTGGGCGGTTAGATTTGAATACTGCACGAAGGCAGTCTGGTTGCTTGAGGAGACGTCGGGAGGCGGCGGTGAGCTGATGTCCGCCGACCCCAAACAAGTCTGAGAAGAATTTGGCAAACAGGAGGCTACGGCAGGTAAGGAGAATGACCCTTTCGTTCGGGGCTTCTGGCGGGGGGTGCAGGGGGGTGCGGTTTTGTCTGAGCGCTCTGAACGCCCCGCGGTGGAAGGTTGGGGACGCTCCCTCAGTCGCCAGGCGGCCCACGGAAGCGCCGGGCCCAGAGTGGGGCTCTTTCTTTCCTCGCTGGGCCTGCTCCTTGTGCCGCCTCCCTCCTGGCCGGCACGTCCCATCCACACCTGGAACCCTTGGGGCGGGCTTGCTTGTCCGCGGCGCCTCGCCGTCTTCACCCGCGCTCCCGGACTCTTCCTCGCACCCCTGCAGCTCTCCTTCCTTAGGGAGCTCTGGGCTGTCCTGATTCCAGTCTTTTCCTAGCTATACATGAAATGACAGCAATCAGTGATGTTCAACTCTCAGCTTGGCGTGGTTTATTTACAGTGTTTGGAGTGTTAGCAGCACTGACGTTCGGTTTCCTGCAGATAAAATAACATTGGCAAATAAGCAGATATAGGACGCCACAAACGAGGTGGTTGTTAATCCTCACGGGAGGATATTGTTTCCATTGATTTTTGGAGTGGAAAGGGGGAGGGGGAGAGAGAGGAACATGGATGTGAAAGAGACACATCCATTGGTTGCCTCCCCCACGCGTGGGGCTCACACCTGCCATTCAGGTACTTGCCCTTGACAGGGAATGGAACCTGTGACCCCGCGTGTGCCGCCGGCGCTCCAACCACCGAACCATACTGGCCAGGGCACAAATAAGTTTTTATAAACCTTCCTCTTTTTATTATTAGCTAAGAGTTAAAGCCCTTTTTCTTGCTGTTTATCTCAATATTAGAGTTTAAGAAAATGATTTTTTTAAAATTGCTGATTGGAATTTTAAAGATACGTTTATACAGATGTCAGAAGAATATGCAGAACTTACTCTAGATATTAAGATTGAAGTTTTCACTTCAGCGAATTGGATCAGTCGGATTCCTCAGATTATTTGTTGGTTTCCTTGTTGTCTTTTGCTAGGGCTGGGAGCGGATGATTGAGAGTCTCTAATCTAAAAGAGTTTATAGTCCAGAAAGGGACATAATATACATAAATAACTATAATATACACAAATAACTATAATACAAGACAATGTGAAGGATTATAGGACATTTGAAAGTTGTGTAGAAGCACAGAGAAGGAAGACCTTATTTGAAACCTCTAACAGTGGAGAAACTAAAGGAGACTTCATGGAGAAAGTGGCATATGAGGTGTAACTTGAAGGAAGAATGATTTATAGAGGTAAATAAATGTACTGTAAGATTTTGTTATTTGAAGGTTGAGTTCAAAGCAGTATAATTCTTGACTATGTGATGGCTGGAAATGTTTACAAGATGTCAAAGAGATGAAAACTGAGTAAAAATGTTTTGAGTAGTAGTATTAATGATATGTTTGGTGGTAAATAAGAGACTGTATTAGATACTCTAGATATAGATAGGACAGCTGTCCAATAAAACTTTCAGTAATAATGGTAATGTTTTATATCTACACTGTTCAATTCGGTACCCATTAGTCACATATGATTATTGAGATCTTGAAATGTGGCTATTGTAACTGAAGAATGGAATTTAAAATTTTATTTTAATTAATTTAAGCTTACATAGCTACTGTATTGGACAGCACCGGTCTAGAGCTTGTATCAGTGGATGCCATGGAACATAATAACTCTAGTTATTAGTAGTATAAATGCAGGAGAGGACAAAGAGCCAGAAAGTAAATATTTCAGTCTGTGCAGACTACATGGTCAGTGGCATGGTCTTTGCCACATATTCTTCTTTATTTGTTGTTATGTTTTGTTTTCTACAACCCATTCAAAATGTTAAAAAAAGAAACAAACCACTTTAAGGGCCTGTTTGGCCTAGTAGCAATAGTTTGCAGACCTCTGGGTTATTTAGACTAGTAATTTCTTGGCTTTTATATGATGCCTTTACACCAAAAGATATACCTAGAATTCTATTTGTTTAATAGGTCCAGACAATTTCAAAAGTTATTAAGTTGAAACAAATGTATGTCCTAACTATAGAGTAGTGATTTGGAAAAAAATGCATAAATTGAAGGAAAAGATATTTTAATTTTATTTTTAATAATCACAATTATTTATTAATCGAATATGTGTGCCTGTTGAACACTGCAAAACTTCTCAAATTTTGGAATTCGATTGGACACTGCCTCCCTCATTTCCTGTACCACATTGATTAATAGAACTGCTTTATATCACAGCATCTGTCAAAGACCCAGCTTTGCAATAATATATTATCAAAACTAATGTAATGTAAATGGGTACTATTTTGAGCTAGTAGTTCACACAGTACCTGGACATGTGGAGAACTGCCATTTCTCACAAACTTTAAATATCTCAGGACACCACCAGGCGGTGTGGCTCAAGCAGTCGCTGCTTTGATACCTGGTCAGAACACATGCCCAGGTTATGGGCAAATCCCCAGTGGGGGACATTCAGGAAGCAGCCAATCAATGTTCTCTCTCATCGATGTTTCTAACTCTCTCTCTCTCTCCCTTCCTCTCTCTCTAAAATCAATAAAGAAAAAAAGTTTTAAATGTCTCAGGACACCTCTGTGAGTATGCTGTAGCACCTCGGGTTTCCAGGTGCAGTTTTGGAACCACTCAATAATCAACTAATGTGGCAGTGATCAAGAGTTAAGCCGTAACAGCATTTTATAAGTGAGGCTTAACATGGGAATCTGGGGTCTCCTCCATTTCTGATGGAGATGGAACTTATACAGTTATGTGATAAATAGAATATTTTAAAAAGGAGACTTTAATAATTTTTAAATCTCATCACTTAAGTGCCAGCTAGTCTGTAGGTTAAGACAGGAATGATGCTCAAAGATGATTTCAAATAGTGAAGATGTTTAGGTGATTCTCATTTGGTTGTATTTAATATCATTATCTGTGAATTTGAATATGTCACTGAATTTGAAAATATTCCCAAAAGGAGAAAAAACATGCAAGTCAGTGATCATAAAGGTAACTTTAAAGAATTGTTTCTTGATAACTCATTCAGCAAATTAGTACTGTGCTAGGTTCTCAGACTATAACAGTGAACATAAGAGACACCAACCCTATTCTCATAGTTTACACTTGGGGCAAGGGCAGTTTGGGGAGGTAACAAACTACAGTGTGGTAATGCTACAAAGGAGACATACACAGTGCAACAGAGTGTTTTTCTTGACTTGCTTGTCAAGAGAAAATATCAAATATAAATCTAATGACTCAGGAAAGCTTTGTGTGTGCAAGAATAGAAATGCTAGTGTGGCCAGCATAGTGAGTGAGGAAGACAGTGGTATGAGATGTAATATGAAGTCTGAGAGGCAGACAGGGACCAGATCTTGTAGAGCTTTGGGGGTCCTGGTGATATCTCAGTATGATGGGAAGCTATTGAAGGGTTTTAAGTAGGGGACTTTTTTTTTTTCCTTTATTGATTTTTAGAGAGAGAGTGATAGAAACATCGATGAGAGAGAACATTGACTGGCCACCTTCTGCATTACCCCCACTGGGGATCCGGCCCATAACGTGGGCATATGTCCTGACTGGGAATCGAACCGGTGACCTCTTGGTGCATGGGGTTGACGCTCAACCAGTGAGCCACTCTAGCCGGGCATCCCCTTCCTCCTCCTTCCCTCCTCCTTCCTCCTTCTTCTTCTTTCTTCTTTCTCCTCCTTCTTCTTTCTTCTTCTTTTTCTTCCTTCTTTTTCCTTCTTTCTTCTTCAATTGATCTTAGAGAGAGGATGGGAGTAAGGGTGGGAGAGAGGGGGAAAAAAAGCCATCAGTCCTGCATTCTAGGTATGTGCCCTGTACAGGAATCAAACCCACTACTTTTTGGTATACCAGAAGATGCTCCAACCAACTGAGCCACACCCACAAGGGCATACTTGTTTGATCTCAAAGGGAAAGTTTTCAAATTTTCACCATTAAGTTGATGTTTGCTGTTTTTTTTTTTTTTAATTGATATTGTTTGTTAGATTAAGGAATTTACTTTCTATTCCTATTGCTAAGTTTTCCTTTTTCTTTTTGTTTTAAACACGAAAGGATGTTAAAGTTTATCAGGCTTTTTTTTCCCCCTCACCCAAGGTTATTCTTCCATTTATTTTCAGACAGAGTGGGAGGGAGGGAGAGAGACATTGATGGGAGAGACACATCAATTGGTGCAGGACCCCAACCTGGGCTGGGGACCAAACTGCAACCAAGGTACGTGCCCTTGACTGGCACCTGAGACTCTCTGGTCCGCAGGCCAATGCCCAGAATGCTGAGCCAAACTGACCAGGACTCATCAAACCTCCTTTTTTTCTTTTTATCCTCATCCGAGGACATTTTTGCATTTATCTTGAGATAGAGTGGGAGGAAGAGAGTGAGAGAAACATCTATGTGAGAGAGACACATTGAGTGGTTGCCACCCATACAACCCTGCCTGGGGCCGGGGACAAACTACAACCGAAGTACATGCCCTTAGTGGGAACCAAACCCAGGCCTCTCTGGTCTGCAGGGCATCAAACTTTTTAGTGGTGAAGATGAGCATATGATTTCCCTTTTTATTTTATTTATTTTTGTCAATCCTTACCCAAGGATATTTTTCTATTGATTTTTTTTTCTTTTTTCTTTTTAGATAGAGTGGAAGGGAAGGAGGGGGATAGTGAGAGAGAGAGAAACAGCCATGTTAGAGACACATCAATTGGTTGCCCCTCACATAACCTTGATCTGGCCCAAGGGATCCCAGGTACGTGCCCTTGACTGGGAATTGAACCCACGACCTTTTGGTCTGCCAGCTGATGCTCTAACTGCTGAACCAAACCGGCTAGAGCTATAAGCCAGAAACTTTTTTAAACTAGAGAAAACTTTTATTTTAGCTACTAAAATCCATATCATCCCATTCAGAATTAGTCACTGATTTTTATCTAAATGTGAAAAATTTCCAGGAGTATTGATTATAATAGAGTAGGTAGTTTAGATTCCTAAAAATTTTTCATCTTCTGGCCCCATAGTATAGCTTTCCTTCCTTTTTTTGTGTCTTCCCCCAGAAAGTAATGCTGAAGTCAGAATTCTGCTCTTAATATCTCTTCATGAATTGTACTTTCTCTTCTTTCTTTCTTGCCTTTCTAATATTGTGTGTTTGTTACAGAAAGGTTTCCTTCAAAAATGGATGGGATGTCTTCAGAGACTAATGAAGAAAAGTAAGTTCATGCAATGCCTCTCAAAATGTTAAACTCTATCAGAGAAGACACTTCTTCAATAGTAAGACCTATTCACTTTGTAATATTTACTTCTTTTCCCTGGAAGAGAAAAAGATTCCAGAAGTTATCAATAGGTCTTCCTTGTCATATATATTTAAAAAAAATTTTTCTTTATGGATTTTAGAGAGAGAGGAAGGGAGAGAGAAACATTGATGAGAGAGAACATAAATTGGCCACCTACTGCATGTCCCCCACTGGGGATTTGGCCCACAACCTGGGCGTGTGCCCTGACTGGGAATCAAACCGGAGACCTCTTGGTGCATAGGTCGCTGCTCAACCAGTGAGCCACACTGCCAGACTCCTTGTCATATATATATATATATATTTATCTTCACCCGAGGACATTTTTCCATTTTTTGTTCAGGTAGAGTGGGAGGGAGAGAGAGAGAAACATCGACATGAAAGGTACACATTGAGTGGCTGCCTCCCGCACGGCCCTGACCCAGCCAGAGCCGGGGACAAACTGCAATTGAGGTACACTCCCTTAGCGGGAACTGAACCTGGATCTCTCTGGACCACAGGCCAATGCTCTAACCGCTGAGCCAAACTGGCCGGAGCTCCTTGTCATATTTTTAAATAAACTCATCTGGAGTCAAAACTGAGAGAGGCTTTAGAGACCATGTCTCATCTCTTTAATTTAAGGATGAGAAAATTGAGACACAAGGAAATGAAATGATACGTCTAATGTTAGCATCACAAACTGGTAGCCTTTTTACAGAGGCATACTTTTTTCCCCTAAACAGTGTTTTAAAATTTTTTGGTTGCCAAATTTCAAAAAACAATTAGATTTTCAGTTTCTCTTGAAAAATCAGCTGTTGCTACACTGGGCTTATATTTAAGTTTGGCAACAGTTAACCTGACTGGAGTAATGGCTACGGACTTTAGACCAGGCAGGAACTCTCCATTATAGTCTCCACCCCACCTATTTTTCTTGCACTTACTAAAGTATGTGTTTAGCCTCCAAAGGCATTTGAATTTTCAAAACCTGGTCTAAAAATCATACAGTAGTAAAACCAGAGCTAGAGTCTCTTGATTTATAGCCCATTTATCTTATAATTGTACCTCTATAAATATTTTAAATTATGTTTACTGTGTTTTAAGAGCTAGTATAGTAGTATACAATATGAATTTTAAAATACTGACTTTCTAAATATTGAGTTTAAAGTGTTATAAATTTTGCTAAGTGAAAGTGATGCTACATTTTGTGGGGTTTTTTTGGTTAATCCTCACCGGAGGATATTTTTTTTCCTATTGATTTTTAGAGAGAGTGGAAGAAAGGGATGCGGGGAGAGACAGAGGGAGAGAAACATCAATGTGAGAGAGACACAGCGATTGATTGCCTCCTACATGCACCCTGACTGAGGCCAGGGATTGAACCTATAATCTGGGTACGTGTCCTTGACCAGGAATCAAACCTGTGACTCTTCAGTGTGTGACTAACACTCTGATAACTGTGGAGTCACATTGGCCAGGACAGCGATGACCAATTGAAAAGCATGTAAGGGATGTATGGGCTTTTGAAAACTCAGTCTTTTCTCAGTGTTTATGTAAATTTTTTTTCTCTTTCAGTGACAATATAGAGAGACCTGTTAGAAGACGACATTCCTCAGTAAGAAACACTGAAGTTAATTGTTAACGTTCTTGGAATGGTGACTGTATAAACAGTAATTTTGACTGTGGCATCACCATCCCACCCCCACTGGCTTCTATTGCTCTCTGGATAAAGATGCAAATATTTAACCTGGTTATAGTTCTATACATATATTAAAATTTTTCTTTTATTAATTTCATAGTAATTTGATTAATTATAATGCTATGTAAATGATACTTCAATAAAGCTGTCTAAAATATATATATTTAAACTGGTGTACAAAGCTATAGCAAGACACAAGAAAATCCAGCTTAAACTGATTTGAGCTAAAAATTTGGGTTATGAAATTGAAAAATCCAGATAGTAATAACTTTAGGTATGATTTACTGACCAGTGGTTACAACAGTATCATCAGTACTAGGATTTCCTTTCACTTTTTCTACTCTAACTGCTTTCTCTGGGTAATCTCCATAGTGATTGCTTCTGGAAAAATAGTGTCTATTTTCTCAAGATAAAAGAAAAACAACTCAAGATTGAATTGTTTGGCTTAATTATCTCAATATGGATTAAGTCCTCATTCCTGAACCAATCACTGTTCCTGAGAAAATATCATGTGCAGATTGTTTTAGACCAGGGCTACATGTTATACCCTATGTTGGGATGGAGCTTCACCCAGGCCACAGAGTTGGCAAAATAATTGGGGAATGTGGGCAGGGAGAAGGGAATAGATACCAAATGTTTAAATGAGCCACAAAGTGTAGCACTGAATGGTATGAATTTGAGGAATTTGAGTTTTTTATAGGAATTTTAGCATTTCTACCTTTCTACTCATGGTATAACTTTAAATGAACTAATTACTAATAGATATGTTGGATTTTCTTCAATAATTCTCTTCTAGATTTTGAAACCTCCTAGGAGTCCTCTTAGGGACCTCAGAGAAGGGAATGAAATAGTTCAGGTAAGTTTCTAATGCAAATGCTTTATAGATGACTATTTTCAGTGATATTGTTAATAGTCAGAAATTTTGTTAGCCATATGAAGTGAGAACATCATAAATTTTTCTCAATTGAATATGAACAAATAAGAATCTCATGGCCTTCAGCTTAAAATCCAAACACTTGAATAAGCGGGTGCTCATGATTTTTAATCCTTATTTACTTTGCAGCCTTCTTTCTTGCCACTCTGACATATATATCTCACCATTTGGAGTTGCTTACTATTCCCCAAACAATATATGAACTCTCAAACCTGCAAGTACTTACATATGATGTTCTCTGCCTAGATGGTAGTTCTTCATTCTTCTTCTTTCTCCCAACATTTTTTTTTTTAATCATCACCTGAGGATATTTTTCCATTTATCTTCAGATAGAATAGGAGAGAGGGAGAAAGGGAGAGAGAGAGAGAGAAACATCAATGTGAAAGAGACACATTGATTGGTTGCCTCCCAGGGCCGGGGATGAACCGCAGCCGAGGTACATGCCCCTGAGCAGAATCGAACCTGTGACTCATTGGTCGGTGGGCTGATGCTCTAACCGCTGAGCCAAACCGGCCAGGGCTCCCAACATTTTATTTAAAAAATTTTTTTTTTTTTTTTCCATTTTTTGTACAGATAGAGTGGGAGGGAGAGAGAGGAAGGGAGAGAGAGTGAGAAACATCGACGTGAAGGGACACATCGAGTGGCTGCCACCCGCACGACCAACCAGGGCCGGGGACAAACTGCAACCGAAGTACGTGCCCTTAGCGGGAACCGAACCCGGGTCTCTCCGGACCGAAGGCCGACGCTCTAACCACTGAGCCAAACTGGCCAGGGCTAAAAAATTTTTTAAACATACTGAAAAGCAGAAAGAATTTTACAGTGAGTGCTTTTATAGTCATCTAGATTCTACAATTAATATTTTATCACACTTTATAATAATTCTGTAGCCCTCTTTATTTAGTGATTCCTATTTGTCTGTCAAGACTCAGCTGTGGAATCACTTGTCTCAGAAAAATCATCCTCTACGTTTTTTATCGTAATTGTTTACTAATGTCTTTTCTAAATTGAGAGCTCCCTAAAGGCAGGAACTTTATCATGTGTTTTTTAAAATTTATTGTGCCCAGTACATAATGACTTTTAGTACCTTTTGTTGATTGATGCAACACAAATAGTTTTGGAGAACATGTAATTCTGCGTGTTCATTCTACTTTGGCTTCTTTAATAATTTTTTTTTTTAACTTTCACATTTTTAATTAATTTATTTTTGAGGTTTTATTTTTTATTGCAATTTTTATTAATTTATTTTTGTTACAGATGTTTCTCCTTTTTCCCCCCATCGACACCTTCCTCCCGATCCTGCCCCCCCAGCATTGTTATTTTTCTTTTTTCAATTACAGTTTACATTTGATATTATTTTGTGTTAGATTCAGGTGTACAGCACAGTAGTTTTACAGTTATAATTTTTTTTTATCCTCACCCGAGGACATTTTTTGTTCAGGTAGAGTGGGAGGGAGAGAGAGGAACAGAGAGAGAGAAACATTGATGTGAAAGGGCCACATCGAGTGACTGCCACCTGCACGACCAACCAGGGCTGGGGACAAACCGCAACTGACTGATGTATGTGCCCTTAGCGGGAACTGAACCCAGGTTTCTCTGGACTGCAGGCTGATGCTCTAACCTCTAAGCCAAACCGGCCAGGGCTACACTCATAAATACTCACAAACTGTTTCCCTTGATATTTTCCATACCTACCCGGCATCATACATAGCTATTACAGTATTATTGACTATGTTCCCTATGCTCTACTTTACATCCCCATGATTATTTTGTAACTATCAATTAGTACTTCTTAATTCCTTCATCTTTTCCACCCAGTTTCTCACCCCCCATTCCCCTGGCAATCATCTATCTATTCTCTGTATCTATGAGTCTGTTTCTGTTTTGTTTGTTTGTTTGGTTCTTTAGATTCCACATATAAGTGAAATCATATGGTATTTGTCTTTCTCTGTCTGACATATTTCACTTAGCATAATAACCTCCAGGTCCATCCATGCTGTCACAAATATAAGAATTCTTTTTTTTTTTTTCCTATGGCTGAGTAATAATCCATTGTATATATATGTACCAAAGCTTTTTTATCCATTTGTCTATGGATATGCTCTTGGATTATCTTGGCTATTGTAAATAATGCTGAAATTAACATAGTGATGCATACATTCTTACAAATTAGTGTTTTTGGTTTCTTCGGATGTATTCCCAGAAGTGGAATTGCTGGGTCATAAGGCAGTTCCATTTTTAATTTTTTGTGAAACCTTCATACTGTTTTTAATAGTGGCTGCATTCCCACCAACAGTGCATGAAGGTTTGCCTTCCATCCTTGCTAACACTTGTTGTTTGTGGATTTATTCATGATACCATTCCAACAGGTGTGAGGTGACGTCTCATTGTGGTTTTAATTTGCCTTTCTTTGATGATTAGTGATGTTGAGTATCTTTTCATATGTCTATTGGCCATCTGTATGTCCTCTTTGGAGAAGTGTTTATTCAGGTCCTCTGCCCACTTTTTCATTGGATTGTTTTTTTAGTGTTGAGTTGTATGAGTTCTTTTTTTTTTTCCTCACCGGAGGACATTTTTTTTTTTGCATTTAATTTTAGAGCGGGAGGGAGAAGAGGAGGAAGAGAGAGAGAGACACACACATCGAGTGGTTGCCACCCACGCGACCCCAAATGGGGCCAGGGACAGACTGCAACTGAGGTACGCACCCTTAGCAGGAACTGAACCTGGGCCTCTCTGGTCCGTGAACCTATGTTCTAACCGCTGAGCTAAACCGGCCAGGGCGTATGAGTTCTTTACAAATTTTGGATAGTAACCTCTTATTGAATGTATTATTGGCAAATACGTTCTCCCATTCAATAGGTTGTCTTTTTGTTTTGTTGATGTCTAATTTTTCTATTTCTCAAATAAATTAAGCTTCTTTTTGCATTAGGGCCTCTGTACACATTCTGCCTAGAATGCTTTCCCTTTATCCAACTCTTCCTCTGACTACTAATACTTCAGGTTTCAATCTAAATGTACTGTCTCAAAAAAATCGTTCCTGGTTCTCAGGCTAAAAAAGTTTTTTTATGTAGTTTTCCTTTATATCACTTATCACATTTTGAGTTTTATATTTGAATGGATTATAAAAATATTTTTATTGATTTTTTTTAGAGAGAGAGGGGCAGGGAGAGAGAGAGAGAAACATTGATTAGCTGCCTCCTGCATGCCCCCTGGGCTCAAGCCCAAAACCCCAGCATGTACCCTGTCCAGAAATTGAACTGGGACTTCTCAGTCAATGGGACAATGCTCAATCCACTGAGCCACCCTGGCCAGGCTTAAATGGATTTTTTTATTTTCATGTCTTTCACCATTAATTCCTAGTAGATAGGTCTGTATTTTCTTTACCACTATTTTTCTATCACTTAGCACAGAATTTAGAATGTGTGTGTATTTTTTTAAAATGTTTTTTTGTTTTATTTATTTATTAGCTTTTAAACTGAATTTATTGAGGTGACCTTGGTTATTAAAATTATATAGATTTTGGGGGTACAATTGTATAATCATCATCAGTATATAGTATTGTGTGTTCACTACCCCAAGTCAAGTGTTCTTCCATCACTATTTATCTGCCCTTTTATCCTCTACTATGTCCCTCCCACCCACCTTTCAAAAATGTTTTTAATGAACTTTCAATGATTAAATGACAGATTTCATAGACTCATAGAGCTTTAAAATCAACAGGACCGCACTAGGAATATTTTGTTGTTCCTCTGCATGGAGGGTAAAAGGCGAAAGATTTATATGATCTGAAGAGAAACCAGAGTATTGTCACCAGTAATCTTGAATCTAGTTTTTTTCATTTTATAGATGAGAAGTGAAATCCAGAGATGTTAAATGTTTTGTCTAACCCCACACACCTAGTTAGTGACATACTTCAAATTAGTGCTCTAATCTACTGGTTTCTAATATACTACACAGATTTGTTTTGTTTTGTTTTTTAGTAAGAACTGTTAGTATTTGGATCTGAAAATACTGTTGAAGAGCAGTAGAAAACCCCAGCCATTCAATACTTGAAATAGTCTAGAAATTTCCCTTCCTGTTACTTCTGATAGAATTAGTCAAAGTTAGTTTACAGAGACTACAGCAGGTCAAGAAAGAAGTAGATATAAGTACCTTTAGAAGAATGTAGACCCAGTCTGTGTAAGGCCACACTGCCTAGATCCACCATGCCTTCTAAGAATACTGAAGAAAGTGGAGTTTGTATTTTGAAGATCAATTCCAAGGAAGCTAACTAGATAAGTTGCTTGTCACACATACCTTTTTCATTCATGCTGAATATTTCACTTTATTTATTTATTTTTTATTTTTTTCTTTATTGATTTTTAGAGAGAGGAAGGGAGAGGGAGAGAGAGAGAGAAACATTGATGAGAGAGAACATCAATTGGCCGCCTCCTGCATGCCCCCCACTGGGGATCGGGCCCACAGCCTGGGCATGTGCCTTGACCAGGAATCGAACCAGTGACCTCTTGGTGCATGGGTCGATGCTCAACCACTGAGCCACACTCGCCGTGTTGAATACTTCACTTTTGATCCTCAAAGATTTCTGTAAAAAAAAAGCCTTTCTAGAATAAAAAGACATTGTATTAAAGTTGTAGAAAAAAATTTAAAAAAGAAATGTATTAGTGTCTTTTAGCTTTTTACTGTGTCAGTATTATTGTCATATTAATCTCAAAGTCACCTGTAGCATGTGCCAGGATGAACATTCCTGATTCTTTGGTATAATAAGATTTATGTTCATGTATTCAGAATTAACATGGTAAAATTCTCTGTGGATTTTGTTTCTCTATCTTGCTTTTTGTATTTGGTATCTATGTGAGCAAAATAGTTTGCTCTTGCTAAGAAATATGAGGAAAGCCCTGGCCGGTTTGGCTCAGCGGTTGGAGCGT